TGTACATTTTAGGCATTAAATGACTCAGAAGGATCCTTCACTACGAAGAATCATACACCCTGCTTCTGAGTTTGGAAGGATTGGGAGATTGTAAGCTCTATTCACTAGCCACCTCCTGAAGTTCTATAGCTAACTACGAAGTGGTCTCCTGCAAATAAATACAAAAGCCACCGGCTGACCTAAGAGCCAGTCCTGTTATGGGGTGAAGCTGCATTGATTGCTTCCACTCAGGGAGAGAAGACTCAAGCCAGGAACATATACCTAGATCTCTATGGTCAGGCTGGAGAATTCTCTCACGGCAAATCAAGTATTCTCTAGTAATTCTGGCCTTCTAGGGTGGGGCACTGGAGGACTCTCATTTTCCTATCAATTCCCATTTTGAAACAGGAGATAAATTCCAGCAATACATTTGTTTCCATTATGCTGTTTTTCAATTAATGAGCTTTCAGTGGCCTTCAATTTTCAAGTTCTGACCACCCCGCCTGCCTTTCAATGTCCCTGCTTTATTTTCCACTGCTGCCCAACATGCACCTTGCCAGGCCAGTGAAAATTCTGATTCTAAAGCCTATACTCTTTTCACCAAAATTTTTGGTCTTCCACATTATTTAGCTTCCTATAGCATACTGGCTTTGAGGGCACCTTTTTCTTCTTTGAGCCACTGTGGACTGAGGAAATGCAAACCACTTTTGCTAGTAGACCAAGCCAAATACTCACAACAAGGTAAATCGTTATAAAAGGAGTTGCTTATACATCTGACCTCGCTGGAATTCAAGGTCCTTATGGGGCATCTAGCACAGACCTTGGCTAGAGTATGCTTTCAAAAATGTGTCAAATTCTCTAAACCAAATGGAATATTTTAGATTAGCCCCAATATTCCCCCCTCCATTAATCTACGGAATTACTCACTGCAAGCTTCAAGGAGTCCCTATCAATACAGAAACGACAGGGCATATGCAAATCAGCCTCCTAAATTCAGAGGACCATCTCAAGCCACTGTTCTGCTAAGATAACCCACTGTAAAGACACAATCAGTGACAACCACTGCTGAGTAGGGGTGAGCATCTCAGCACATGTGCCCAGAAGACCAACCCCTTAACAGAACTTCTGACAAAGGACCCTGAGAAGTTAAAAATTAGACACCTAATAAGCATCAGGTAATCCTTTGATTTTTACAAATACAAAGAAAAATATTAAGGACAAAAATCACTATTTCTGGAAACTTCCTATGACAGCAGCAAACCTAGATAATACTAATATGTATGTAACAGACAAGTGAAGCTAGACTCCCGCTGTCTGCAGCTGCTGACCTGGGGGGCAAGGATCTGAAATCTACATTCTGGTCAAAGTGAGCCACCTTACAACAGCCTCTGTTAAATGGAACATGCTTTCACAACTGTCTTTTATACACACACAGTATTTCTTTTTGTTTTTCTTAAGAGTTCTTTTTTCAAAACCGGCCAAGTTGGGTGGGAGAGCCAATGTCTTAGGCTTAAGTTTTAGTTTTGCCTTTCTTTACAGTCCATTTCCTGGGGCCAAGTTGGTTTGGGGTTTTGTTTTGTTTTGTTTGTTTGTTTTTAGTATTCAGAAACATATGCTACTGTCGTTGCATGTTCAAACACCCATGCGGAAATAGTCCCCTGGACTTATACATTCATTCTTAAAAGACTGGAGTATGCAAACAAAGATGCAGTGGGCAGAGGGCCAGTTAATAAATCTCATTTCCTACCAGCATCTGCATGAAACAGAGCTATAGGGGGTAGCCTCTCCAGGGAGAGCCAGAGCCCGACTCATTTGCTCTGTGAATTAAACACTATCACCTCAGATGGCCCACAACACATTTATTTTTTAAGCAGCTCTTAAAATATATGGAGTTCTAGTATTCATAAATGCAATGAGGAAGCTGGGTCCAAGAAGGCAATCACACAGTAGTGGACATGAAGAGCAGAAACATCCACACAGCTCTGCTGAGCCATTTTTGCACTGGCTCCTTTTGACTGAAATTACTACTGGAGGGATAATTTCCTAAATGTACCTTGCTTTTCTAACCAAAGTGTGCATGGGTTTCAATGACGGTGCACCACCCTCTCTGGTCCAGGCTATAAAAATGGGCTCAGTTTACACAAAGAGATACCTGGAGTTAAGATATCTGGGTCATGAACCATATTTGACCCTTATCTATAGACAATCTAGTGCAAATGTCATGACAAGAAGGTCCTTTGCTGGGAAGAGTGGCCACCTGACACAGAACCGTGCTGTTTCCTAGGTGTCCTCTCCTCTCCTCACCTGCGCTACCTCTTGGCCTGGAGCTCCTGGAAGAGTCCGTTTTCAGTAATAACCGCATTCTTCTTATATCTATGTAGATCTTTTAAGAAAGTCTTTGTTTTAAATGTTTGAAGTTAACCTCACAGTGACTTTGTAAGACTGCAATGAGATAATCTTACGTGTCATGAGCAACTGTAGAAAATAAGGTCAAAGGTAAAGGACCCGCTGGAAGCCTACCTGCAAGTCAGCACAGGAATCAGGAAGAGAGTTCCCTCTGATCATCCCAGGGCTCTGGGCTGACCCAGATGCTCCACGGGACTCAAACTGAACTCTTCAGCACATGCCATTTTTGAGGGTTATAATGGACCCACCACCAAAGCAAAATTTATTTGGTTAAATCTCTTTGGGCTTTCACGGTACCTTCCAAGTTTCCTCAGCAATTAAATGGCAATATTATTCCAGCCTGGAACACTTCCTGGATAGAAACACATCTCACATTTTTCCTTCCCCTAATGCCCCTCCAAAAAAATAAGTGGTAGTTATACTACGTTGGCCATCCACTTTGAAAGCAAAGCAGACCAAAGAAAACATAAGGTGCGTCTGTCTCAGCGTACACCCTTTGTATAATATAATACCAATACAACTTTGGAGGATTCCTTTCTTCATTTAACCTCTGACACCTCTCACTATGGTGTCCAGTAATCCTATTACATAAAATACAAATGCAATAATGCTCTTAACTGACTTAAGAATTTCTCCAGTCAGTTCTTTTATTTAAATTCAGTTTTTTTCCTTTCGTATAATTTCAGGGCCTCAGAAAACAAACTGGAAATAATTTAGGAAATGAAAATAGATTGAACTGAAAAGGTAATTAAGCTTTTACTTTAAAGCAATATTTTGTCACCGAAAGGTAGCATTTAACCTTACCAACCAAGTCATTTTCCACTGCCATTTCAAGTTTGTTCATATGACTAATAAAACCCAACTAGGCAACTTCCTTTGGCCTATGTGGTAAAATTCGAACTCCGTCTTAAAAGCAACTGCTACTTATGTGGCAGAGATTAAATCACTGAAGAGACAAGGGCTTCAAATTTATTACCTATACGAACAGTGTAAATAAGTGAGGTTTAAAAACAATTCCGGGGTCTTGGTTTTTGTTTTTAAATTCTATTTCAGGCTTTGGAATGTTCACAAAGAAAGGTGGATGAGTAAGGAACAGAAGGGACCTAGTGTTCCAATCACAAGGATCTCCAAAAGAAGAGTCCCAGACGTTGTGGACCAATTTTGGTTTATATTAAGAGAATAACAAGCACTTGGACTCTGTAAGGATGCCATGTCAACGTATTAGTTGGAATCATAAGGCATGAGATTTTGGTGACCTCATGGGCACAGCCAAAATTAACTCCAAGTATTTATATAACTGCCAGAGACGACAGGGCAAAGGTTGCTTATGAATTTTTCTTTTTGAGTCAGCAAATAGGGTTTCTTTGGTCGAAGACAGAGGAAGTGGGGTACTTTGGGTCCTGTTTTACAAATATATCATATTTACACACACTGAATATTCTACCCACAATACCAGCTGAACATTTAGATGAAGGCATTAAAAAAAAAAAAAAAGAGTTATTTCCTGTTGCTCACTAGCTGAGAGAGGATGCGCTTTAGAGGTATGTGTGCTCTGCCTCGAAGCAAAAGCATTGTTAGTGGTTATCAAGGTAGCATTTAAAAATAACTACCCCAGTACAAAAGAACCTCAGAGGAAATATGAGGGAAGCTATCAGTCTCCCTTCAAGTCTGGCCTTGAGCTGCATTAGACTCTAGCTGCATTCTCCATTACATTGTTATCCTTATCAAACAATGCAAACAATTTTAATGAGCTTATCTACTAGAACATATTGCCAGATATGCTAATGTAAAAATGATGCCAACCATAGAGACCGACTCATTAATCAAAAAGCTCACAATACAATGACCAAGATCAGTCCCATCCTCAAATCAGACCTGGGCAAAATAGCAGGAATTACCTTCCTACTGTTTAATGAAGGGCGGGCTCCCCCACCCATGCGGAGGCTATAAACTCCTAAGAAAATGCATAACGGCACCAGGTTTTCCTCAGGTCCACTGCAGTCCAGTCTCTTTCTAATAAACCATGGGTTCTATGGAGAAAATTTCGGTGAATGTGTCTGACACCGTGACCTCTGCTGTCAATCCTTGCACCAATCAGCGAGCAGAATTCTTACAAAGCTCCATCAATCTGGCGGTTTAACATCACAGACTGCAGCTTAATCTAGAGGATTCCATCTTTCCTGCACACACACCAGGGCAAGCGCAAACATTTTTCTCGCCATCCTCCTGTTCTCTGCCTTTAGGCACAGCCTATCCAATGGGTCCTTTAAAATCTAAAGGAAAGGAGGAAAGGAAGTGCTACTGCCTGTCTCCCTTTGGAGAGGGGAAAAAATTGCTTGCATTTTTATCAGTGTGGAAGGAAGGAGATGGAAGGAGACCCCTCGCAGGCGGCAAACCTATTCACAAAATGCTCTCCATCTGCATTCGTGAAGCCTCAATGCATAGCCAACATGACACATGGAAAGAGACAGCAAATGATCACAAGCGCCCTGGCGAACGCACGTCTGCAGCCCGGTCCGGGCGCAGTGTCCGCTCCATTATATAACGGGCCGGATTTCCGCGCGCCCCCGCCGAGCTCCCCCGCCCGGCGCCGCTCCCGGTGCCAGCCCCATTACCTGTAGGAACGCTCCCCGCGCACTGTGTGCTTCCGGAAAGGAATGATGGTCCCGTTATCCTGGATGATGTCGTTGTTGTTCTCGCCATTTGGGGACAGGGTTTGGGTCGGACCAGGCATTGGCGCACTCCCGAGGAAGGGAACAAACCGCGGCGGGCTGGCTGGTGAGGAAGGTGGCTGCGTCTCGTCTTCCCGCTCGCCTGCTCCTCGCGCAGACCGTGCCTGCCTGCCGCCTGCTCGCTGGCTCCCTTCTCCCAGCTCGGCTCCCGCCCCGCCCTCCTGCGTCCCGCCCTCCCGCGTCCCGCCCTCCCGGCTGCTGACGTCAAAGCGCCGGCAGCAGCACCGGGTCACGTGGCCGGGCCCGTCACCATAGCAACCCGCTAACTCATCACCTCTCCTCAATTCGCACAGGGCCGAGGCGTGACCACGCGAGCAGCTCCAGGCAGGCACCGGGGCAGGCCTACATCTGGCATGTAAAACCCCAGGCCACCCCCAGCCCCCCTCACAGACTCGCCTAGTCTGAAAACCAGCTCTTCCTCTAACCATTTCCTTTCCGACCCGGGCTCCGACTGCAGCTGTGTACACAAAAGAACGATTCAGGCAGAGGGGTGTGGGAGACCCTTTAACTCCTTCAACACCAAGTTCTTAGAGCATTCAAATTAAACTCAGTCTGGTCGCAAAAAAATATACAAAGATCTGGTGGCCTGCTCCAGAAAATGTACCAGACTAAGGGGGTTCAGATATCCAACCTCCTCCCCCAAAGTAGCCCCAAACCTGAAAACCTAAGAGGAAGCTATATTTCCTTCTAATCAATGCAGCCTTTACTTTAATAATGTGAAGATTAAAGATTGCAAATGAGATTTTTCTGCAGAAAAGAATCCTCAAAGGGTTTTTTTTTAAATAGCCACCATTTTAGAACATGATGGTTACCCAAGGCTCCCCAATTCAAATTCTTAAACTGCCTCTTGATACAGATAATTAACTCCTTGTTTATTTTATTTTCATTTGAATTAAACGAGTCAACACTCAATTCAGTATTTGGAAGCTCTCAACATTCTAGCTGTTCTGTATCATTGCAGTGTAGTTTTCAAATACACTGGCCATGAGACAGGTACGATTAGCATCATCCCTGTTTTAAAATGAGTAAACTGGTGAGATTAAGTAACTTGCTCAAAGTCACAGAGCTAGGAAGTGGTGAACTGGAACATCAAAATGACACGTTTTCAATGTGATTGGACAGTACTGATCTATATTTAATGTGAGCTCATAAATATAGATCAAGAATCAAGTACTTTATGTACACTCTCAACATGACCACTGTGAAAAGAGCTGTGAACAGAATTGCTAGTACTAGGCAAAGTCGATGGATTAGATTATAAACTCTCAACAGACCCCAGATGCATCCATTACTTTCCTCCAGAGAGAAGAGAGTTTAAAGCATTCTCTGCTTATCAAAAGTGGCCTCCGACCTTTTGTGGGGTGAGAAAGGAAGAACTGGGGTATAAAGGACAGCATTCATATATGTAGCAGAAAGTACAAGGCTATATGGCTCATCCCTTCACGTTACTGTGTGGTTTATCAGCTTTATCATTTTGTGGTATAGATATTTAAAAAAAAACAAAAAACAAAAGCAACCCTGTCATTCCTGACAATTCTCCAGCCTATCTCCCTGGTAATAAGTTATTTCTGGCATCAAGCTTCTAGAATTAGAATCAAATAGTTCACAACCCAGATGGTAATGATAATCTCAAACAAGGGGGCCTTTTTCTTTTTCCTATTTTATATTCTTTTTTTAGGCATCTTAATAATTTTATTTTTCTGCCTTTCCAGTGGACTTCCAGTGGACTTACAGTATGCAAGTTGATTTTTTTATCCATATCTCAGCTTACATGAGATTTTTTTCCCCCTCATACGGTAACGACCTACTTTGGACCTAAGACTTGCAAGATACAGAGATAAATATAAGTAAAAGATAAACTGCACACTGAACTAAAGAGGCTTGAGAGTGTAGTCATCACTATGAAGATCTACAGTTCCTCTTACTATTTCTGTTACTGACCTCCATGGTTGTCAGTTTCCTTACTAATTTGTTCCCTTTCACAAAAGCTTCCCCTTTCTTTGGGGATAGTCTGAAGGTAAAAGCGCAGTCTGCAAATCAAGTATTTGTTTTCAGAGTGCATCCTCTCATTTTGGGTTTAGTACTGCTTACTTCTCCATGATCTCATACTTAATATATATAACTGGTGTTATCATGGGGACTAAATTTGTCAGAATTTGAATGTATAGCTCATTGGCTATATCGACTTATTCTGTGGAGATAATACTCCCACTGTTTCTACGCTGCTCATGAAGGAGAGGACTATGGCCAAGAATTTGGGTTGAGGGGAGGGGTGGTGAGTCAGGTGAAAGAGGTATCTAAGAGTCCCTGTAAATCTTCCTCTAAGACTGCTGTCAGTCACGTTACTGTCAAGGGACCCAGAGAGCTCCAGAGACCGGTGATTACCCTCTGAGACACTGGGGTAACCGGGGTAATAATTTGAAAATGCTAAACAGATGTGTTTTCATTCTTTTCCCCATAAATCAAGTAGGCTGGCAACCATTCTCCTGTTTAGCCCTAGGGAAAAGGAGGGCAAATTTCACTTTGGGAAGGAGGATGCAGGACACAGGGAAAGTGCAGAAAAGGCAGGAAGGTGGAGGAAAGAGTCTACTCCTTCCAAATCCGATTGAGTGTGGGAAGGAGATGAAAGGTGGAAAAAGCAGGTCCCCAAAGAGAGATATTAGAGAAGTTTGGCTTTGTTCTCAGCCTTAGGGCCTTACTTTGGCCCCCTTTCCCATTTGAGACTCTGAGAAATAACCACCTCAAGGAGTATCTCCCCACCACCTCCCTCCCCAATTGGGCAAGGTAAGCCCCAGCACCATAAAGACTAAAATCAGTGGCTTGGTATGGCTAGGCAGAAGGGTTAGGGAGAGGGAAGGATGTCTAAAAAACTGAACAATCACCCAAGAATTGGAGCTATTCAAAGACAGTTGAAATTGCAAGAGGCTATAATTCTAAGAATTGGCAAGTTTAAAACCATTTGTTTCCCCACGTCTCAGCAGGGTGAGGACAGTCACATAGATCAATTATAGAAAAAAATAACTATGCTAAAGCATCTACGAACATCTGATTCTGGATTAAGGTTTTGTCTTATGTACATAGGTGTTTCTAAAAGAAATTATATGCAGACCATACATCTCCAACTGCCTTTGGAGAAATGGCTCCTCTCATCAAGCATCATCATTAAAATTGGGGCTCTGGAGCCAGGCAGACTGGGGTCCCCTGCTTGGTTTCACTACACGCCGGCTGTGTGACCTTAGCAAGTTGCTTTGCATCTTCAAGATTTGGTTTCTTCATTTTCCTCACCTGGAAAGTAGGTGAAATGGTACTGGTTTCATACGGTTGCTCTGGAGATTAATTTACAGAATATATTTAAGGCAGTTAACATAGTGTCTGGCATATGACAAATGCTCTGTAGTAGTAAATGTTATTTTAAAACAACATGTAAGGCATACTCTTGTGTATTAGAAACTGGTATGATAAGAAGAGAAGTCCCAGGCTCGGTCCTCGAGGAACTCATAGGGTTGTAGTGAGCAAGATAAAAATACCAGCAATTATGATACAACAATAATGCTGTAATAATAGCACCATATTGGGTGATATAGGCCTACAGAAGATGAGCACCTAATTCAGAAAGGAAATTAGGAACTGGGTCTGAAAAGTTCCCCTGAGGAAATATCACCTAAGCCTAATGAGTAATAATTATAACCTTTTTTGTTCACTTCCTTTGTGCAAGATAGAATATAAGATCCTTTAGGGTAGGAGCTCCAACTGTTTTGTTCACTGCTATCTCTGCAGCTCCTAGAATGGAGCTTGGCAGCCAGTAGGCACTAAATGAATACATAATTCATTCAGTTATTCAATAAATACCTAATTTGATTCTCACAAAAACCCTAATGACAAAATTGAGGCAAAAAGAAGAAAAGCAACTTGTCCAGTATTAGACATCAGGTTTTCTTGGCCCCAAAGTTCTGATGCTCATCCATTAAGCTGTGTGGCATTTAAAATAGAAATGGTAGTGTAGGGGGAAGATAAAGGATTTCTCAAGCAGATATACTTAGGTACAGAGATAGGAAAGGATGTGAGGTCTCTGGGAAACAGCAATTTGTTCCTATGGACCAAGAGCAGGTTACACAGGAGATAGGGCAAGGACCAGGTACAGAACAGTGCCATGGCCCAGCTAAGGAGCTTGACCTTAATTCTGAAGGTGTTTCAGAACCATGAAGTGTGGGGTGCCTGGGTGGCTCAGGCCTTAAACGTCTGCCTTTGGCTCAGGTCATGATCCCAGGGTCCTGAGATCAAGCCCCACATCAGGCTCCCTGCTCCACGGGAAGCCTGCTTCTCCCTCTCCCACTCCTCCTGCTTGTGTTCTCTCTCTCGCTGTCAAAAAAAATAAATAAATAAAATATTAAAAAAAAAAAAAAAGAACCATGAAGTGCTTTAGGGAGAGAAATTAATGGTGAAATTTGCACATCACAAAGGTCTGATGCCAGTAGTGTGAAGAATGTATCAGAGAAGACTAAAATGAGTCAGTGATGAAGGCCTAAATTTAAACAGTGGCCAAGGGGCTGTAGAAGAAAGCAGATCTGAGCTCTTCAGAGGATCTAATGCTTAGAATTTTTTGACTAACTGGATGTGGGCACCATCACTGATGGAGGTTATGGGGGGGTAGTGAAGGAGAAAGACATTTCAGATGAATCCCAAGTTTATGGCTTGGGTGACCAAGTGGATGACGGTATCATTTATCAAGCTAGGAAATACAGATTGAATTGCCCTTCTGGAAGAAAGATTCTCAATGTGTTTGGACATAGAGAAGTAGTTCTAGGACATCTGAGTGGTGAGAATGAGTGGTTACTGGGCTTCACACACAGCAGGTGTTCATTAAATATTTGTTGACTAAGGGAATATATGGGTCCTTGAGTTTATTTGGTATTTTTGACTTGGAGATACTTTGGATTTGGAGGAAATTATCTCATAGGTGATAATTGAAGCGGTGGATGTTGGTGCCCTCAGAGAGAAAGAGAAGGCTTGGCATGGAACTCTTTAGAAGCCCAGGGATACAAGATAAGCCTGCAAAGGAAGACTGAGGAGGATTTTTGCCTCGTGGGGCAAATCAAAGAGGGAATGAATGGTTTCGCTCTGCCCAAGAGAGAAACAAGTTTTAGAGAGCGGTCTCTCAGG